CCCGCCGCCGCCCCCAGGCGCGCTGGATGCCCTGTCGCTCAGCAGCAGCCTGGACAGAGGACTGCGGACCCCCAGTGCCGGATCTGCTTCCAGGGCCTGGAGCAGGGGGAGCTCCTGAGCTCCTGCCGCTGTGAAGGCTCCGTGTGCTGCATGCACCAGCCTTGCCTCCTCCGCTGGACGCGCGGGAGGGGCTGCTTGGAGCGGTGAGCTCTACTCCTGGCCTGCAGCACCAAGAACCTACTGCAGCGGCAAGTCATCTCCCTGACAGTCATTGAGAAGGTCCAGATTGCGGCCGTAGTTCTGGGCTCTCTCTTACTCGTCACCAGCATCTCCTGGCTCATCTGGTCCTCACTCAGCCCATCAGCCAAGTGGCAACGACAGGATCTGCTATTTCAGATCTGCTAAGTTAGGTATGGCTGTATGGATGTTGTCTGCATAAGACTCATTGTCCACAAAGGCTCCTCTGTCTACTGCAACTTCAAAAGCTGGCAGGCAGTGAACCAGCAGTGGAAGGTCCTGAATTGTGACAAGACCAAGGACATAGGAGGAGATGCAGGGGGAGGGACGGCAGGGAAGCCGGGCCCCAGGACCTCACAGACAGGCCCTCCCTCTGGGGCCACCAGCCGCCCCCTGCTGCCCAGCGCATGCGGACGCTCTTTCCTCAGTGCTGTGGATACACAATCCTGCACCTCCTCGGACAGCTTCGGCCACCAGATGCGCGTTCTAGTTCCCATTTCGGCCGAGAGGTTGTCATGAGGGTCACCAGACTGAACTAACTCCAGGAGCCAGGATCTTGAGTCAATGCGCTGGCCAGAGATGAGCTATCATGGCTGCTGGAGGTACCACCTGGACCAGATGTTTGGGGCACACTGCTCCCACCACTGAAGATCACTGTGGGCAGCCCCAAGCTGGAGACATTGTCTGGCTTCTGCCCACTGGGTAGAGACACTTGGATGACATTCCAGCCCCCAATGACAATTCCCCACCCATCCTGGGGCAGCCAGTGGGCAAATGGGGAGAATAACTTTTCTTCCCCAGATAACCGTCCTTACCTCAGCTCCTAGGGCCTCCAGCCCCTCAGCTCTACCATGGTGACTTGGTGAAGGGGAACCAATGCCAGAAGAAAGGGGCTGTAGACCCCGCATTCACCACCCCATGGCAACAGGGCAGCTGGCAATAAGACTAGTATACATTGACCTCCCTTTCCCTGCATGAGGGCGGGGGACTTCCCCTGCTTTGTCCCCCATTGCATGGTGGGAGGGCACAAAGAATCATTTATATGCACGTGGAGCCTCCTTTCTCATCTGGGGCTTCTCTGGAGTGTTGGGAGGTGTGGGGAGGTTTCTCTGCAGAGGTTACAAATCCCAAATGCAGCAGCGGGTTCTGAATTGGAGGTGTAACTACCACTTGCTGGTGAATAATTCATGTTGGCTGCTAGAGGTAACAAAAGGGTGGACCTACCACCTCCAAGTTTGTGAATTACCAAAAAAAAAACTTTCCACTGTGGTTTTCCTGTCTACCTCATAGGGTTGGAATGAGGATAAAGGGGGAGGTACTGCCCAGCAGACATGGCTCAGTGGTTGAGCATCAACCTATGAACCAGAAGGTCACAGTTTGATTCCTGGTCAGGGCATATGCCAGGGTTGTGGGCTCATTCCCGTGTGGGGCTTGCAGGAGGCAGCTGATCAATGATTCTCTCTCATCATTGATGTTTCTATCTCTCTCTTCCTCTCCCTTTCTCTCTGATGTAAATAAAAATATATTATAAAAAAAGAACATTGTTGGAGAACATTAACAATGCAGATTAAATTTATAAGTATGTGGTATAAGTGGGCTATAAATCGTACATAGGGTAAAAATTGAGAAAAACTGTTTTGTATATAGAATTCAAAACCAAGAATTCCATATGGCAAAGAAGTCAGTGGAGCCATTGGGGAATGAGTGAAATTCAAACATATGTCTCAGAGGCTGCTCTGTCCTCCTATTGGTTAGAATAATAAATTAGCTTTAAAAGTAGACAAAAATCCTGAGCAGACATTTTAACAAAGGATATAAATACATTGTAAAGAAATGCATGAATAAATGATTGACGTCAAACATTTTTCGGGAAATGGAATTAAAACAAAAGCAAGATAACAGTATACTCATTGATGGGGCTAGTATTTAAAAAGATTAACCTTCGCATGTGCTGTCAGGGTTGCAGAAAAATGGAATTTTCATTACGTGGGTGGGTGGGAAGGCCAAGTGATTGACCATTTTAGATCACAGTTCTCCATATGTTAAAATGTAACACATTCACTGACTGACACTGGAACAGTTTGATAAGTAAGACATACACCTGGTAGAAAGAACAGAATACAATATTCCCAGCTGTTTTATTTATAAAACCCCAAACATAGAAATAACTGAAACCATAGACAGCTCAATATTTAAAGTGGTTATCCATAGATACATATATTCCTAGCAATAAAAAATTAACTATTGACATAAACATTAGTGTCGGATCTCAAAATACCTGTGTAGCATGAAGAAAACCAGTGTTTGTTAAAGAGAATGCACATTACAATGCCAATGAAATTATGAAAAATATGAACTACTCTATTTTAAAGGAAGGTAACTCAATGCCTGCATGGAGGGCTGGCGTGGCAGAAAGCTTACAAAAGGGCTGGAGGTAAATACACGGTGTGGCAAAGTAGGTTCAGAATTGTTGGTACTGAAAATAATAAAATAATTAACAAATAACAACACAAATATAAACTCTCCATGGTCACTGTGCCTCATTCTGTTGAGTGTGATCACATTCACTGAAAGCCACTGGTTTAGTTCCAGGGCAGAGCACATTCCTTCCTGAATCCCCAGGAGTGTTCATGCAGGAGGCAGATGATTGCTGTGTCTCTCCCTCTCCCTTCCTTTCAAAATTAAATAAAAAATATATTTTAAAATATATAAAAGTTACTTGAAAAAGAGAATTAACTGTGTTTTTGGCACACTCACAACAGTAAGCCTACTTTTTCCCCAACATGGATGTAGGTAACAGGAGCCTATTTTACTTGTGATGGTTTCTCAGCTTTATCCGTATGTTCAACCTCACCAAATAGTGCACATTAGAAGTGAATTCCCTTGCTTTGCTCATCAGTTACACATATACCTACGTAAAGCCTTACAATGTAGTTCCATATACATCCTATACATCCCTCTGTTGTTAGATAATTAAGATGGCAATCCTATATACACAGGACCATCCCTCTCATTTCTTGGACCAGCCTAGCCTCAGTGGCAGCAAATATTGTCAAGCAATGAAGAATATTGCCATCAGCCCAGCTGGCGTGGCTCAGTGGTTAAGCATCAATCTATGAACCAAGAAGTCAAGGTTCACTTCCTGGTCAGGGCACATGCCCAGGTTGTTGGCTCGATCCCCAGAGCAGGGCAAGCAGGAGGCAAGCGATCAATGATTCTCTCTCATTGATATTTTGCTCTCTCTCTCCCTTTCTCTCCCAAATCATAAAAATATGTATTAAAAACAAACAAACAAACAAACAAAAACTATTGCCATGAAATTCAACAGGAATGCTAACTGCTTACAAAAGACACATCCTCGGACATATTGTAGGATTATTCTTCCTCTAGCTTTGACTTCTTGCCTGTTGAACAACTACCTTATATAAACACTCTAGAGGGGCCAGGGGAATATACAATAGCATTAGATTGTTTTATCTGCCAATGAAGTCAGCTACATGAAACAGTTTCGGAGGTCCTGAGAATGTCTGTACATAAAGGTCACACAAGCCACAGGCCCTGGGACATTGGTGGCCTTATGTTCAGAAGAGGCACCTATCATTTAATTTACTGCAGGCTTTCCCATTCATTATAGAAACAGTGTTTCTGTCATAATTGTGGTTCCACCTTAGAGTCTTACAAAAATGACACCAGCTTATGAAATTCCATATTCCTAGCACATGGCTCCTTTGCAGTACATGGAGAGCAGGTTCTCTAAACATAGCTGAAGTTTATGTAATACATACTGTGAACAGAGAACATGATTCATATTGGTCACAGAAGCAGAGCGACCTTCAGAGTGATTTTAGACCTCACCAATAATCGAGGCACTAGACTGCAGATTAAATGCACAGTCATGTGTTCTTTATTTCAAGGCCATGGGCTGCAGTAAATAAATGCGAAAATAATGCACTAATAAATAACAACACAAATATAAAAACACCTTTAGAAAAAAGATCATAAACCAGAGCAGAGAAAAGCACAGAGTTTGCAGGTTGGTGAATAAGAAGCCCTCAAAATTTATCAAAACATAATGTGAGTACCACTATGTTCCTGAAAGAGGTAGCGCTTCTTAGCTGAGAATGGGTGCTCTGGATGACTCCTAGGTCATGTCCATTTTCTAGTCATAGAGAAATGAATGAAGATACTGCCAAGAGCTTGGAGGAACCATAATTAATTCAAGCAAAAGTGAGAGCACAATATATTTCCCTGAGAATCCAGGGATGATGACCCATGCACACTCCTAAGGTGAGCCAGGTGTTAGAGGTGAAATCTCTTCAGTGAAAAACAGACGGAGACATCACTTGCATGTTAGCAAGTACAATGCAGCTCCTTCAACTCTCACTTGTACCTCAAGTTTATGAGGAATCTAGCAGGGTGTATGTTCCCATAAAAGGGATTTACATTCATATAAACAGTGCCATAGAGCCCCTTAAGTGTTCTTATAATAAGTGAGAAAAATAAAACATTCCCTGCACATTTATGGCTTTTCTCCAGTGTGAACTCTGTGGTGTCTAGTGAGGTGAGATCTTTCACTGAAGGACTTCCCACATTCACGACACTCATAGGGTTTTAATCCAGTGTGAACTCTGTGGTGTTTAGTGAGAGAAGCCCTTTCAATGAAATGCTTCCCACATTCACTACACTCAAATGGCTTTTCTCCAGTGTGAACTCTGTGGTGTCTAGTGAGGGCAGCCCTTTCAATGAAATGCTTCCCACATTCACTACACTCAAATGGCTTTTCTCCAGTGTGAACTCTGTGGTGTGTAGTGAGGGCAGCCCTTTCAATGAAATGCTTCCCACATTCACTACACTCAAATGGCTTTTCTCCAGTGTGAACTCTGTGGTGTCTAGTGAGGGCAGCCCTTTCAATGAAATGCTTCCCACATTCACTACACTCATATGGCTTTTCTCCAGTGTGAATTCTGTGGTGTCTGGTGAGGTGAGACCATTGACGGAAATGCTTCCCACATTCTCTACACTCATATGGCTTTTCTCCAGTGTGAACTCTGTGGTGTCTAGTGAGGTCACTGCTTTGACTAAAGGACTTCCCACATTCACTACACTCATATGGCTTTTCTCCAGTGTTAACTCTAAGGTGTCTAGTGAAGTCGCACCTTACACTAAAGGACTTCCCACAGTGCCTACACTTGTACTGTTTATCTCTAATGTGAACTCTGTTGTGTTTAATGAGAGCAGTGCTTTCGCTGAAGACTTTCCCACAATCAGTACACTCGTAGGGCTCTTCTCTAGTGTGAACTCTCCCGTGTTGAAGGTGGTTGAACATTCGTCTAAACACTTTCCCACATTTATTATACTCGTAAGTTATATCTCCAGAGCAGAGACCGTTACATTCTTCTCAAAGTAAACGACTTGTAACTCACTCAGGTGCAAAATATCTTTTAACACTGAGAAGCATGGCTTACACAGATGGGTCCTCTGGGTGGCTGCAGCTGTCTTGGAAGCCCTGACCAGAGAATCTCCTACAGATACACTGTGCTCAGAATAGGCCTCTACATCATCCATCTTATGCCAATGACCTGAAAACAGAGAAATGATGAGGAAATGAATGTTGACTCTGGTGACAGTGGGAAGTCCCATTATAAAACTGTACTGCACATACTAGAAAGAAACCAAGATGGCGGCATAGGTAAACACCGGAGATTGCTACCTCGCACAACCACTTCAACAATACAACTAAAAGATGGAACGGACATCACCGAGAACCACAGGAAGGCTGGCTGAGGGGAAATTCTAAAACTAGAAGGAAAGAGAAAAGCATACTGAGACTCAGAGGAGGTGCAGTGCAGAAGTAAAATACTAAGGTGCGGAGCTGTGTGCGAAGCGGGCTGGTGGCTGAGGGCGCAGTTGTCTATTTCAATTGGGAGTAAGTCTCAGGCTTTGGGCTCCAGCTCCGGGCAAGTCTCTGGAGACCCAGACTCAAACGGGAGAAGCGCGACTGTCTGGCATTGGTTGGAACTCAAGGGCAACTTTCTCTCTGAGGTACTTGCAGCGGTTGCTGGGACACTGAGAGGCAGAGCCTCTGGGGACGGGACTGACAGCAGCCATAACTTCTTGCTCTGGCCCTCCGTTGATCCCCTGGGACCAGCCCCGCCCAAGCCTTGCAAAGAGGCATTTGCTGGATAGCTCAGGCAGAGGCTAGATTAGCACCTCCCTAGAGATCAGGACAGAAGTTCTCCCACTGCAGACACAGCTAAATCTGACAGCCAGTTGGCCTGGAAGTCAAATCCCCCCCCAGTGTTACGTACAACAATCAAGCCTTAAATACAACAAGACTGCACACAAGACCACTAGGGGGTGCACCAAGAAAGCATAAAAAATGCGGAGACAAAGAAGCAGGACACAAATTACAGAAATGGGGGAAAGCAAAATGCTGGATATAGAGTTCAAAACCACATTTTTAACACATTGTATGCGGGAAAGGTATTTATACATTCTACCAGTGTAGTAGAGCGCGGGACATGTATTAATACATTTTTTATAGACTAGCAATAGAATGCAGGTAACGTATAAATACATAAAGTCATTGTAATTTTATTGAACGTTGCCATTTGTGCAAAAAATTAGCAAAAATGGCCTGCGCCACCTGTTAACGCGTAATAAAAACTACCCGCAAACAATGTGTTAAGGTCTCTCAAGAACTGTCTAGAAGCCACCAAAAAATTTAGTAAAGCCCTCAAAAAGACTGGTGAGATCGCCGATAAATGTAGTAATATCCTCAAGAAACATAAGGACACCCTTGATGTTGTTAAAAAGGACCAACTAGAGGTCGGGACGGCCCCGTTGAGGTTGAAATGGCCCCGATGAGGTCGGGTCGGCCTTGGAGAGGTTGAAACGGCGCCGGTGAGTTAGGGACAGCCCCGGTGAGGTTGAAATGGCCCCGGTAGGTCAGGACAGCCCCAGTGAGGCTGAAACAGCTCCAGTGAGGTCGGGACGGCCTCAGTTAGGTTGAAAGGACCCCGGTGAGGTGGAAATGGCCCCGGTGAGGTTGAAATTGCCCCGGTGAGGTTGCAATTGGCTGAAAATAAACGGGACGGTCCCGGTGAGGTCAAAATAGCCCTGGTGAGGTCGGGACAGCCCCGGTACCCCGGTGAGGTTGAATGGACCCCAGGGAGGTTGAAACAGTCCTGGTGAGGTTGAAACGGCCCTGGTGAGGTAGGGATGGCCCCAGTGAGGTTGAAACGACCCCGGTGAGGCTGAGACGGCCGCAGTGAGGTTGGGACAGATAATGGGGACCAGTATAGACTGATGAACAGGGGTAGATGCAGAGGCAGAACAACATTGAACAGACTGTCAAACTACAGTGGGAAGCCTGGGGAGGGTTTGGGGGAGGATTAAGAGATCAACCAAAGTACTTATATGCATGCATATAAGATTGAACCTCACTGGGACACAAGACACCAGGGAGGATAGTTCTCAGGCCCAGCTTCATCCGGAAGGTCATCCTGACTGTCATTCTGCTGTTCGGCCATTTGATTGATTTGCATATTATGCTTTTATTATTATAGATTCTTCCAAGTCACAGAGCTCCAAAGGCCCATAAGGAAGTAGCCCATATAAATGTACTTATTTTGTACCTGAAAACTTTAAGTTTCAGAGCATAGCCTGGATCTCCCACATAGTACAGAGAGAGAGTAGAATATCCAGA